ATACCTTCCGGGTGTTCCTAATAATCGTTAGAGAGTTTATGGTAAGTGTTTGGAATGAAACAACATGAATATGGTGAGGAAACATAGCCAACCCGAGAAGCTCGCCACCGCTGGTGCAGTCCCAGTATTTTGGCCATATCTCTTTCGTTACTTAACGAAATCGCGAGCCGTTTGTTGGGTTGGATTTGTATCGTCCGCGGCTACAACTTTGGTTCAAAAGGTATTTCGAGATAATGGATGGAAAATTACAGAACTTACGTAGAAGTTGATGCTGCGTTTGGAACTCATGATTTGGAAACTTTGGATGGTTTTCTTGCTCCTTCTCCGTCTTCCTTAGCATACAACCATGGAGTTGGAGTTTTCTTTTCTTTTCTTTGTTTCTGCAGAGAGAGAGAGAGAGAGAGATGAAGAGAGGTGGATGCCTGTGGATGGATGATGGTGGAAGTATGGTGATGATGATTGTGAGAAAGTTTTGGAGTATTATATAATCAAACCTTGGAGTATTGTGTTAGTGGAGTAAATAGTGAGGCTAGACTAACTTTGGTGGATTAGTGAGGGGCTGATCCGTGATATGAATGGGATTTGAGATTATTAAGATTGGTTTTTAGTCCAAACTGAACCATTTACCCCAAACGGTACACGCTTTTTCGCCCAAACTGCTCCGAATTGAAAACGAATTGCGTTTTTGGAATGAGACAGTCAAAACTAGAATTTTGACGTAATCAAAATATTTTTCTGAGAACTTTTATTTTTCTCAGTGTTCGGGTCTGTCTCAATCATAAATTAATTTAATAATATGAATGAGATATAAATATATGAATTAAATCCAAATGATAAATATGGTGTTGTCAAGTGTCAAAGATTAATATTCTAATCTTATGAAATCACTTTTAAATTGAGTTTAATTTATGGGTCAAAGTTACAAATTTTAATATTTAAAATCGTCATAGCTTGAAATATATAAATCAGATTGGTTCATAAAATGTACCGTTGGATTCGTCTCCTCTAGACAAATCCATAAAAATAAGTTTTTAACAAAAATTCCTTATTTTAAAAATCCATTTATTTTTGGTCAAACATATAAATATTCCTTATTGGACAAAACCTATTTTTGTTTAATAGTAAATTATTGGCCTTATTTTATGGCGTTACATTTCCTGAGTATGATCCTCGAGCTCTCAATGAGAGCACCAATTTGATGGACAATAAATCCACCGAATGATCCGATGCAGAAGAATGGATCACAAGAAATAAAATAAGAACGAGAACTCGAGAATTATATATTTATATGTGTGTATTATTAGCCTGATTCAACTTGAGGACTATCCTTTTGGGTCCCCTCTATTTATACATGGATTTTGGATAATTAAGGTAATTCACAATCAATGGGAGTCTACTCCGCCAATGGCGTGATCCCCTTTTCCCGGCTTCATCTTCGTTCTTGAGTTGAGTTTCCTCCGGTATATGGGCTCTGCGAGCTGTCTTTTGAGTTGGAGTGATCCGAGCCTCGTGTCATGGGTAGGCCCAGATCCAAGCCCTCACCACGCGCTTGACCCGGCGTCCATTGGATAATTAGTTTGGGCCGCCCGCTGGATATCGGCCCATCACCTTCATTGCTCAATATTCAATTCTTGCTTCCATCTACCTCATCAAATATATTATTTTGAGAGTTTGAAATATTTTTATTGAGTGCTAAAGATATTGTCATCCATAGAGCTTTCATATTTCAACATTTCTTGCTCAATTGTGTGCGATTTCATTCCTGTGTTGTAAACTCAATCTTGTTTGAGTGTTGGTAATACTTGTGTGATTCAAGTCTTGTTGGTTGTTGTTAAGACTTGTGCGACTCAAGTCTTGCTGCAAGAAGTTGAGGCTTGTGTAGTTCGAGGTCTCGAGTTGTATCGGTTTTTCAAGCACCCTTCGAAGCTTGAAGTTTAGTAAAACCTTTGAGAGAGTCTCTCGGAGGACTGGACTAGCCACGAGGTGGTGAGCAAGTATAAATCACGGTGTATTACTTTCCCTTGCTCTTTACATTTTTCCTGTGATTTTTCTTTTATTATCACCCATGCGATTTACGCATATTCTAGCGAACAACTCTATTCACCCCCCTCTAGAGTTGCACTTTTATCTAACAATGTATGGATGCAGGGATTTAAGAATGTTTGATTAAATGATAAAGCTTCCCCACTGTTTGCATAAACTCTGATATGTATTTAATTGGTTTTGAATTGTTTAGTTTTAAATTAAATGTTTTTATTTTGTAAAAAATATTGTATGTGGATACCAATCTAGTGGCAACCCTGTTCACTAACCTATTTATTCGGGTTACGCGGGTTGCGGTGTTACAGGCTTGCTTAATTTTACACAATTATTTGCTACGTGGGAATCCTGATGAGGCTTGGAACGATGTCATAGATGATGACGAAGATGACAACCTTGAGGAGAGTGAGACTGAAACACGTATGCATAACATACCTCACGCTCATAATGGGAACAAGAACACACGAATGGCAGAAGAATTACGTGATTCTATTGCAAATGCCATGTAAGAGGATTACATTATTCATACATAGCTTTTGGAAAACTTTTTGATGTTATAAATGACTTATAATGCTGTGTGCATTTAAACTTGTTATGTGCAACATTCTGTCTAGATTTTGAATTTCATATAACTATTGAGTATGTACTTCTTTCTTGTGCAACATACAAATGCATAATGACTATTATCTTATGTTAAATATGTATGTGCTATTCTAGTAGTACACAGTAGTATGTGTTCTTATTTGTTTGCTTATATTATAAAATGGCTACAAAAAACAATTGGGGGGTGTGCGCATAATAACCTGGACTGAGGACATGGATGAGTTTCTTATTGATGCTCATTTAGAACAACATAGAAAAGGAAATCGTGTTGGAGGTACATTCACTCCCCGAGCTTATTAATATATTTTGAAAGAGTTGAAAGAAAAATATCCAGATGAGAATTGGACAAAAGACAAGCTTCGTGAGTATATGCGGCTACTTAAAGGTAAATTATCAGATGCGTTTGATGTTTTCCAACACATCTCAACTAGTAGTTGGGGATTCAACTCAACCACAATGACTTGGGACGTCGATGATGATGTGTGGGATGCTTTTGTGGAGGTATGGACAACTACATTTTTTTATGTATGAAATGGACATATGCATTATGCTGCGATTCTAATACAAATATAATTTATTGTGTATGCTCATCAAGAAGCAAAAGATTGGCGGGACAAGCCAATACCATTTTATGATAAGATATGGAGTTGTATGCAAAAGATAAAGCTACTGGAGAGTTTGCAGAAACACCTTCAGAGATGCGACAATGATTTGTTATCTAACAATGAGTGCACTCTAGAGGCTTCTCCCACCCCTCCCGTCGGTAATACGAAACAAGTTGGAGGTGATGACGCACCAATATTTTCAGAGAATATGTCTAAAGACAAGACTAGGAAAAAAAATTAAATTAAGTGATGAAGAATTTCTTACGAGACCGGTGACTTTAATTTCAGATGCAATGAAAACATGTACTTCTGAGTATTTGAAAGAAAAGAATCCGCTACCTCCAACGGATATATGAAACCTTGTTGGATTGATGAATTTTGAGGGAAGTCGGAAGAGTCATGCGTACATGTTCTTTTTGGAGAAACCTGTGACTATGAAAGCAATTCTTGGATTGTCGGAGAAAGTACGTGAACGTTTTCTCAACGATGTTCTGAACAAGGAAGGAATCTGAACTGGTCACTATTTTATTTATCATAAGACTTGTGTCTTAATACGTTGTTGTTTTTTCTGAAGATATGTTTCATTTGAAGTCATTGTCCTTTTTTTGATGTGTGGAAGAACAATATGGTTGATTATTTTATTTTGAAATGTATGACAACTAAATTTTGTTTAGTTGCATTTATATAAAATGATGTTACATAAAAGTTTCGTCCTTGAGTGTTTACTTAATCTTAAAATTTTACATTTAAAATTTAAATAAATTTAAATAAAGTAAATGAAAAAAGTGTTTAGAAATGATGTAAAAATAATTTTGTATATATATTTTACGTACGAATATAAAAGCCCGTGCAAAACACGGGGTAAAAACTAGTAAGAATATAATGTGAAAGACAATTTCATATAAAACAAATAAAGAAAAATAACCACAAGGATATTTTAGTAATTTTATTCTTTTCATCCTTCACGTTACCTAATAAACATTCAAACATAACTTTTAAACTAATTACCTTATTTTACCTACCTTTAATTACATATTTTCAATTACCTACTATTACCTATCTAATAAAACTTTTATCTGCACCAACCAAACATGGGGAAAGGTTCAAGTGACATTGGTGGGCAATGTCATGGGATGACCTGAGGGCACTCCGGTGCCCCGTTCGTAAAATTGACGTTTCCTACCTCTCCTAACCCCCCGGTAAACCCCCCCACCCGGCCCTGACCCGAACACAACCCCCCACCCCCTTCAATTGCACCCCACAAGTTGATTTTGACTTTGGAGTGACTCCAAAGTCAAAATCAACTTGTGGTGTGCATTTGAAGGGGGTGGGGGGTGTGTTCGGGTCAGGGCCGGGTGAAGGGTTTATCTGGAGAGTTAGGAGGCGTAGGAACCGTCAATTTTATGAACAGTGATCCCATGACATTGCCTACGAATGTCACTTGAAGAGGACCAAACATAGGACCATGCTACACTTACACCAAAAAATATACCCATTTGTACACCACAGATTTGCACAAACATTTCAATGGTTTACACCGACACAAGTGTTGGTGCGTTAATAAAAATTTACACGGACACAAATGTTGGTGCGTTTAACAAAAATTAGTTTTACACCAACACAAAGTGTGGTGCAAAACTGCGAGGTACAAATTGGGGTACACGTAGCATAATCTCCAAACATATTCTAAATTCCAACAAGTACCCTAAGAATTTCCCTATAAAAAACTGCAGGTCTACTTCAGCGTGCACTACTGCACCGTCTCTGGCGTGATGAAATCTCACACTTTAAAAATCTGCAATCTGAGTACGTTTTAGTCGGTATGTATTTATAAATTTATGTTCTGGAACAAGAGAACCATCTCATCAAGCATATCCTCACCTTCTCTCCGGTATCTCAGACCTCTCATATCATTTTTTCCATCTAATTTCGTTATGTTTTGCGTGAATACATTCGTCAACCTTTATATTAACTAAATGTTTGTTCCATGAATTTGTTTTCCAGAGAGGATCAGAGGCAGTTGTTGCTTTTGCCTGTAGATCTGGTCTACTAGGAACATTGAAATTTGTTTAAGGAAACGCTATTTCGATAATGGGAATTGTGTTTACTCGGCTTTTCTCGTCTCTGTTCGGCAACAAGGAAGCTCGGATCCTCGTTCTCGGATTGGACAATGCTGGCAAGACCACAATTCTATGTATGATTTCTTTGAAAATTTGTAGCCTGTGTTTAATTTTACAGGCAGGTTGTGGAATCTCGTAAGTTTGAAATATTAATGAATGTATTTTCTATTTATGATGCAGATCGGCTTCAGATGGGTGAAGTCGTTTCCACTATTCCAAGTTTGTATTCTTTTTTCTTATCCCTAAAAAATATGGAATTTCCGTCCCTCAATGCTGTTCTTTTGTTGTGACTTTGAGAATAAAAGCCATTTGGATTTGGATTCTGAACGCCATCAAAGTAGTTGTGATTGATTATGTCTTCTGATTTTCTGCCCATGTGATACAGCAATCGGATTTAATGTTGAAACATTGCAGTACAAGAATATAAAGTTTCAAGTTTGGGATCTAGGTATGCTTGTCAATTAGTGTATAATATGTGAATCTTTATCACTTCATCCACTGTGTGTTTAATGTAATGTTCATACATTCTTTTATTAATTGTTCAATGTCGCATGTTCCACTGGTTATGTTTTTTTGCCTGAAGAGTTGATACATACTAGTATTATGAAGATCTTGTCTTGGTCTATTAAGAGAATATTGTTAGTTTGTTTTGTTTGACCTTCCTGATTTATTTGAGTGTTTCTGCTAGTGTTGTATGCCAAAAAGTTGATTCACCGAGTGTATTCATATAAGTCGGACCTTCTTGTGGCCTTGGTCAAGCCTTTTTCTAGGTTCCCTTACCCCTTACTTTAGAGGATTGTTCCCCCCGGAAGGTTTGTCTTCCGTATGAGGGGCTGGCTTTAGGCCTCGGTTTGGTCCTCCCCTTCTTTTTTATCCTCATGCTTTCTTAATAATAGCTGGTAAGGGTTGTCTAGACCTTACCCCACCGAGTTTGGTGGTTTGCGTGCTGGGATAAAAAAAAAATTCCAAATACTTCTTTCATTGAAATTTGTTAGATGCTTTAGTTTTAAGGTAGTACTTTAGTATAAAGTCTTCCGTTAGTATATGTTTGAATAATGTAGATCACAATATAAAGATTTGCTATTAGTGGCTACTGGCGAGTTGTTTCCTGAAATTACAATGTAGTGGCAATGGTAGTGTTTTTGAAAGGTGGTAAAGAACATCGATTTTACTAGTGTTTCTTTTTTTGGTGTTTTATTATTATTTTTTGCTGTATCCTTGCTATGCGGCTATGCCTGCATATATTTTTTAAAAATGCTTTTTTCCATCCTCGTAAATGCACCCATCCCCATGCAACTTAGGTTGCGGTAGTTACCATCAGTGTGTGGCTGTAATATTGCATTCATCTTCCCACTATGTGAAACATAATACAAGTTAACAAAAACAACACAGTTGGATCGCACACAAGTAGGGTCCGGGAGGGTGTGTGTACACAGACCTTGATCTTACTCCAAAGTAGAGAGATTGTTTCCAATAGACCTCCGGCTCAGCTGCACAGATAGAAGACCACACGGGATACAGAAAGCAGAGAAGCACAGATACAATACCAAGGAGCTAAAGTCAAAAAGAAAACTAAAATTAATTAAGGAAAAATACTGCAAGCAAATAACACCAAGCATAGAAGGCATACGCAGCACACAATAACAACAAGTACTGAAAACTACCCCTAGTCCAAGGCACCTATCGAACTACTATAATCCTAGCTCTCTAAGCGTTTCTATCTAAGGGCATGTCCTTAGTACGGGCAAGAAGTGCTAAGTCCAGACTTATCACCTCCTTCCAATTCTTCCTAGCTCTACCCCTTCCCCTACTTCCCCCACCACCGTAAGCCTCAACATCTCCGCACTGGGGCGTCAACATTTTGCTGTCTCACATGCCATAAGCTAAACCTAGCTTCCTATAGCTTGTCTTCCATAGGTACCATGCCTACACATCCTTGGATAACCTCGTTTGAAATCCTATCCAACCGCGTCTGCCCCCACATCCACCGCAAGATCTGCATCTTTTCCGTATGGAGTCGACATAATACAAGTTTTGTTAAATTTGAACAAAAACTTAGAGAATAATTATCTCCTAAAACTTGAGAAAATGATGAAAATGTCTTGCATATCGTTCTCAAATTCCATTTTTCTTGAAATTTGTTTGACTCAATATATGACTCTATATGTGATTTATATACGCCTTTACACACACAAGTAAAACTAATTTTTTTGTGAGGGGGAAATTATTAAGGGTATGGATTCATGGATTATGCATGAGTGTACTGTGAATTTTCCTCACTAAAGAAGTACAGCTACAATTAGGAGGAAGTATTCGCCACCATTTCCCTTGAGGGCTGTATACTGGCCATGCTCACAAACATATATTAGCTCCGTCCCTTGAACTCTTTCTCCTTCCTTTTTTTTTCCTTGTCCCACACAATTCTCTTTTCTATTAAAAAACCACCTGTACCCCTACTAATTCTTATCCTACCTATCACATCATACCTTTTTACTAATAATCTACCCATCACATCTTACTTTTACCCATCACATCAAGGGTATTTTTGAAAAGTCAACACAATAATATTCCTCCCTTAAATTCTCAAAAAGTCAATAAGGAAAGAACTTTAAGGGACGAAGGTAGTAGCTGCAAATGGCAGTATGCACTACATTTTACGCCGTAATGGAAGTCACATAGAGTCTATTTCAATTGCCTTGCCAAGAAATTCAAGGTTATAGGAGAAACATTGCGATATGTGGTTCAAGTTGAGAACTCAAGTGCGCCAAAGAAGACGTGAATGTAGAAATAACTCGACTAGCCTACAATTGTTTGTATATTTGAATTGTTGTGTCCCTGGTGGAAACAATTCCTAGGGAGCCGTATCTACACCGCATCAGAGACTAACATTTGATGCAGCATAATTAGAGATTTTAGAAGACTAGAAGGGAAATTATTGTAATACCCTAGCAACATGTTGGGAGGTTGAGAAAGAAGACAAGAGATCAAGGAGTAATATTTGGTTTATTTTGATTTACAACATGTTTGGTTGAAGGTAAATGAAGGTAGGTAAATACTTCTACCTTCGGTTACCTTATTTGGCTAAAACTAACGAGGTAAAGTGACGTACGTGTGGGTAGTGAGGACTCCAACAGTGGAGGTAGGGATTCTCGAATCTGATTTTTGGTATTCATTATTGGCTACTTTCCTATTATTGAAAAAGAGTATGCCCTTGTTCTCTTAGAAGCCGCATTTCTCCATTTCTACTTTCATGTTCAACCCATTAGTTGAAGCTAGGCCTGAGAACCATTCAAAGCCACTATCGGTGGAGCAGAAAAAAGTATGTCCCAAAATTTCTCCTTCTTTTCTGATTTTTCTTATATCTACAGGCTGTGGCTGAGAAAATTTCTGTGATTGTTGGACCCACCTTTGTGGTATGATGGAATAAAGCAAACTAACTCTTTAAATTGTATGTGCTTCTTTCAATTGTGAAGTAGTAGTTAGTCAATGAGACTTTCGACGCTCATCATGGGTCATCTGGAAACAACTGCTCTATGTTTCAAACATATGGGTCAGACTTCGTACATCCGGCCCCCCTTACCCCGCAAGGAACTGGGGTGTTGTTGTTATTGGACCTTCCTTTTCTCATTCCTCCAGCTTCAATTAGAATTCTCCTTTGTCACTTGATCCCAATGTGGATGGAGGTGGTTGTGGGAGGTGCGGAGGGTTTGGGGAGGCAGGAGCTGGCTGTAGTGTGTGTCTGGTGTTCTTTTGAATTTTATAATTACCTACCTCATAAATATCCAAAGACATTTTAAACATATTACGTAATTTGGTAATTTACACTATGAAGCTCTGGGTACCTTCATTTACCTACCTAATGAAACTACTTCCACCTCCTTCCAAGCAAAGCCTTGTTTCCACACCTTGGTTGAATATCTTAATGGAATTGATTCTTTATAACACAATAGCTTTTGTAGGTAAAAGTTTGAAGTGGTGGTAGAGGAGATGGCAGGAGCAGCAGTGATATATGATTATTATTAATATGGTACAAAAACCTTTTCTCCTATGAAATTCTTGTTCACTTGCTCGGCTTGGATGGAATCAAAATATATTAACTTTGGAGCTCAATCACATGAGGCTTTCCAACATGCTGAACCAACCTCACAAATTTGTAGTATAAATCTTGCACTTCAACAAACAACATGATTGATAAGTGGAGAGAAGCAGAGGCAGACAACTCACTTTCTGCTTTTTAATTTCCAATATTTTTATTTCTCTTTTCTTGTTTCAAAATCTGCTTTATAAGAGACAAGACAGTCAATTCAAAAAGTAAAAAAAAGGACTAGTAATTGTCCAACAAAAAAACAAACCACAATTTAAAAAAAATAAAACGAACATACTTAAACTATGAAGACCCCAAATAGTTGATGGCATCAATTTTTAATAAAAAAATTGAACAAAAGAATCATGATTGCTAACTTGCTTGGCCGTTTATGAGCGGTTGAGAGCAAAAGAGAGCAAAGATCGAAGAAACTTTACTTTGTCTTGCAGTGGATTGTTTTTAATTTTAAAATGGTGGAAGAAAATGAAATGGGTAGCATAGTTATCAAGGCATCGCCTAGGCGACGCTTAGGCGTCTGGGCGAGGGTTTGTGGATGCCAAATTAGTCGCCTAGCTTTTTTTCCCAGGGCGACTGTGTTGTACAGTGATTGTGTCTCCATCTCCGAGACGCGTCTCCATTTTAGAAGCGCAAATGAACGCGCGAGATAGAGAGAAGACGAAGGAGGAGATAGAGAGAAGACAGAGGAGGAGAGGGAGAGAGGACTTATCTTTCTCGCCGGTTATTTGTCGCGGTGCGGCTTCTAGATCTCTGACCTCCACTGCCTCTTTCTATCTCTCTATCATTGGGACTAGTGGACTAGGTCAAATAACTGGGCTAGATTCATTAATAGACTATTGGACCTGTACACAGGAGGCTAACGCCCAAAATTTAGTAGGCCTTTTAAAAGCACACTTTATTGGAGTAGGCTAAGGTTCCCATGACATTGGGAACCAAGGTGTTTATATATATATATATATAAAATATATATATAAAATATATATATATATATATATATATATATATATATATATATATATATATATATATATATATATATATATATATATATATATATATATATAGACACACACACACACACTCTCTATTTCATAAAGTTGGTATCAGTGTTCATTTTAATCAATTATTTCATACTATATGCTTTAACGTTAGTACCTATAAAATTATTATGGTCGCCATAGCCTACTTGCCCAGCGGACACCTAGGCGGGCGCCTAATCGCCTAGGCGACGGGAAGGTACTCTAGCGCCCAGCCTCCGTAACAACTATGATGGGTAGGAACTACTGTGATTCCAAATGTTATGTGTGATTGGGATATGAAGACTTGTCATTGACAGACCTGCAGAGAAAGAGTTTTTGAGAGGCTCAACTTTATCAAAGTCCTAGATATTAATATTTGAATTGTATGACAATATTGATGAAGCTAATCCCTAATTATAATATTGATAGTTTTAGTGATCCCTAATTACTGTTTTGCAACTAGGAATATTAATTAAAATGAAATGCGTTTATGAACAATAAGCTAATATTATTACGAATGAGGACTACTACACTAATTTGGATTCTCGGGGCTGTCCACATGACCATATTAATGATTTGGTATTAGTAATAAAATAGGACTATTTATTTAGCAACTAAGAGATGAATTGTTATTTTTTTCAGTTTACGCGTTGCCCCTCCTCATGGTACCTACTAGTTTCGTTTTATAATGCCGTCTTTAAATGGAAATTATTTTTAACATTTTTGTTTTCTTACACCGGAGGGAATAATCTTGGGTTGTGTGATGCATATGACTATTTTCGCCGGCAAATTCATGTTTTAGTGCCCCCTAAAAATTTTCAACTAGATTTCAAATTCAATTGGGTGGACATTTGGAGGAATGATTCATTTCTTGATATTTTGGGAAAGTTTCTTTAGTTGACGACTTTTACACATTCAAGGACTGTGCTTTTGTACTTTATGACTTGACTTAACATGTTGCGGAGACTAGCTCTAGTGGTGTTTTGATTTTTTATTTTAATCATGTTTTTGTGACACAAATTGCTGCAAAAATACACAAATTTTTATTTCATAAATTGTACTACGTACCATTAAGTCCCAAATGAAGAATGTACATACACATTCTGGATGGTTTCATATCTGATGCCTTCACTTTCTTAAATTATGGTGTCCATAGGTTTGTTTCATTGTCTTAATTGTAAAATACAAATACATGGGTCATCAACTCTCTACTTTTAGTAGGGGTAAGGTTTGCGTACACAAACCCTTCCCAGACCCTGCTTTTTTGGGATTCCACTAGGTTGTTGTTATTTAGTAAATATATATTCCTCATATAAGAGAATACGGTTGAGGAATATAGGGAGAAATTTATCAAATAAACTTGCATTTTTGGGATCTCAAGGAACCCAAACCTAGGGAGTTTGGATCTAAACAAATTCCCAACAGAATTCTAACTTATAAACTTCCATTCCGTGTTTTTTAATAGTATCTGATGTTTCATAGCTCATAAATAACACAACAAGATAGCCTTATCCCACTATGTGGGTCGGCTGCATGGACCAAATGATGCGATTGTGCCCTATCATGTATCATATCTTCTCTGATTTCGTTCACGTGAAGGTTGCCTCTGACCACTTCTTGTCAAGCCTTTTTTAGGTCTACCTCCTCCTCTACCCTTGGTCGACCCCACCTAGTGGGATAAGGCTTTGTTGTTTGTTTGTTTGTTTGTTGTTTGTTACCTCCTCTACCCAAATGTCTATTCACCATTCGGTCAACCCTTCTCACCGCATGCTCTATTGATCTTCTCTCAACATGTCCAAACCACCTAAAATGAGTTCTACCATATTTTCTACAATAGGTGCTACTCTAATTTTAGCTCTTTTATCTTCATTCCTTATTCTATCCATACATGTATGATCGCTCATTCAGTGAAGCATCTTGACTTCAGCCACACTAACCTTGTTTTCATGACTTCATGTTCACTCTTTGCTGCCTCTGTTCCATATTTTAGCATGTCTAATCGCAGTACGGTAAAATTTTCCCTTTAGTTTTAAAGATAAATTTTGTCACATATAAGCTTGAAGCACTCCGCCATTTTGACCAACCGGCTTGAATCTTGTGGTTAACATCATCCTCTATTTCTTCATTTTCTTGAATGATACACCCAAGTTATTTAAAACTTGCACCCCATATACTCTATTTTAGTCCGACTTATATACAAGCCATGCAACTCTCCACGAATTCAATTTTTCATTCAAATCCTCTCGTGATTCGCCCATGAGGATGATATCATCAATGAAAAGCATGCACCATGGTACGCGTTCTTGTATATGCTTGGTAAGCCATCCAATACTAGTGTAAAAAGATATGGGCTTAATGATGACCCTTGGTGTAATCTTTCACCGCTCATAAATAATAATGAGATTAAAATTCTATCATACTCTCCCTCTTCCCCCCAAAAGAAATTCCTACTTTCCTTTTTCGTCCATACCCAAATAAATTTCACATTCTCACCTTTCCATTTAAGTAAACTTAAATAAATTTTAGCCACACATCACTTTTCAGCTTTTTTCTTAAAAACTATGAAGTCAAACTATGAAGTCAAACTATGAATTTCTTTTGGGGACAGAGGGAGTATGTTATTTCCACTTCAAAATTAAATATCATTAGACAATGAGTTGACCTTGAAATAATAACAAGATGTTTGCGTGTGCGTTTTCATTGATCATTTGATAAAAAATGTAGACATGACACCACTTCTTTTGTAGAACTTTTGATGTAGCTTTTGAAAATGTAAGTTGTACTGTTTATTTCTATACCAATTCGTAAACAAAATAGTTTTAGAAAATGAGATTTTGCACTATGTTCATAACAGGACATTAGTTTTGGGACGGAGGGATTATTTTCTTTCAATTAGCATATTGGAGAACTGTCAATCTTAATCCTAACCGTGCCTTTGTGTGAGTGAGTTTTCAAATTAATGTGGTCACATTTTTTCTGACTATTTTGTTTTATTATACTGCAGGGGGGCAGACTAGTATCAGGTAACTTCAAGTTTAAGTTTGTGCTTTGACTTCAAACTGTAGATGATGAAGTTACTGAACTTTTCATGAATAAGCAGCTTTATTTTCAAACCATGCTAGAGAATAATGTGTTGTATTCTCTTGAAAGTCATTGGTTGTCTTCCACTGTTCTATTTTCCTTTCATCCATTAGTATCATGCAGCTCCATTTGAGTTTAACAGTTCACCACACCAGCCATTTAATTTCTTTCATATTTAATGACAAATTTTTTGTTTAATATTGCTTTAGGGCACATAGAATTGCTGAGTTTTAGGGAGTCTCTTTCTCCTTAGATTTACTCTTAATTTTTCTTAATCACTACGGAGTATTAAACTAAAAGTTGTAAACAAGCAACTAAGTATCATGTATCAAACTAAGCAAAGTAATAACCGAGAAATTAAAGTCTAATACAAAAGGAAAACTAAGGACATATGTTCTACTGTAATAAACTAGAGGGAGAAGTCTAATGCAAAAAGGTAACTATATCTGCTACAAACTGTCCTTCCCTCTGTTTTGTGAATGCATATTGTTTCTTGCCCTTGTTTCTTGCTCATATAGGGAGTTGTGTGAAAAATAGAAGTCAAGGACCCTCCTTTGTGTTTAAGCACATGTTTCATATTTTAGCCTTGGGAATTGTGATTTTGGGATTATCCTTGGGAGGTATTCTCCTATTAAGTACGTGAAAAACTTCTCCTTTCTCTCCTTTTCAACAAAATCCATAGTGGATATCTCTGTTCTACGCAGGCCCTACTGGAGATGCTATTTTCCGAATACTCAGGCTATAATTTATGTTGTTGATTCAAGTGACACTGATAGGCTTGTTATTGCTAAAGAGGAGTTTCATGCCATACTGGAGGTACGTTCATGGTTTAGATGTTACATATCTTATTTTGCCCATATATTTCAATATATAGAATGCTTTGGAATTTTGGAAAAAAGTTTTTTGCAGGGAAAAAAAGAAATATTTCTCTTAACTATCTACCATAGAGTGCTGTCAAGATTAAACATATGAAAAATAGGTTATCTTTTTCCGGTTGAAAACAGAAAATTGCAGTCTCTATTCTCTTGGCTTATACCAGCAACACCAGCAACCTACCTACTCAGTAAATTCCCACTTGGGGTCTGGCTCTTGGCCCCTTTAAGATTAACTATAGGAATAATGGAATGGATCTTTATTAAAAGCATACAACGACGTCCGTACTGTCCTTTCATGGTACCTTTAACTCAACAGTCACCAACACAATAAATGTAAAAGCCTACATTTAAAGTAACTCCAAAGCTCTTGAGTAATTTAAGGATGCTTTTTGTAGAACTGGAGGTCACAATGCCACGCTAGGATACAAAGGTTTAGTTTTGGAGCATGAACATAATGAGTCAACCTTGTCCTAGATATCTCAAGATAAGCAGCTGCAGATATGCTAATGCCTATATACATACTCATATTCTATCAAATTGTTTAATTTATGCGAGCCTATAATTTTCTTTAATGTTTGTGATGAACTGAAAGATAAAAATGGAGTTTGATGGAAGGTTATGGTGTTGATCCAAAATTGCAAAAAAAAAAAACGAGATAAATTTTCATGTAGTATCCTTCGATACTGCAATGGTATCTAAAAAATAGAGGGTATTTTTGTTTTATATTGGTTGATGGCCTGGGCTGATGTGTTCTATGATTAATTTAGTTCTTAACATCTGACTTGTAAAAATAAATTCTCTTTATTTGTTCAATTTCTTTATTCTTATATGGGTTGGAAGTAGCGACAAACCTTTGCTTGGAACTATGATACATTGTGCTCTCCTTATTTTCAGGAGGATGAGTTAAAAGGTGCTGTTGTTCTCATATACGCTAACAAGCAGGTCGTATGCAATTTTCGATTTAATGCCTTATTACTAATATTTCGCAATCATTCTGGCACACACATACCTTGTGGTCATGCTTCAGTGAAGCATAGTGAATCAGACATAGGTTATGTGCTCTGTCACTCATGTGCTTTTTATGATGTCTATTTTCAACAGGATCTTCCTGGTGCACTTGATGATGCTGCAGTGACTGAGTCCTTGGAGTTGCATAAGATTAAGAATCGACAATGGGCAATTTTTAAGACGTCAGCCATCAAAGGAGAGGGGCTTTTTGAAGGCTTGGACTGGTAAACTTTGAATTTTAATTACACTGACGATATGCTATGCTTTGAATGGCCTTCCAATAGTTGTGCTTCTTGATTGTATTCTCATTCTCAAAATATATCATCTGGGAACCTTTCTCTCTAACAATGTGACTCCATATCAATTGCTATTTATGGCTTATGCCATGATTGGCTAGTTTACAAGTTCTTGTAGTAATACACCAAAGTAGCTCTAGCTGAATACTCACTTTTGGAATTAAGCATGGGGTGGGGGGTTTTTTTTTGGGGGGGGGGGGGGGGGG